AACCCTAACCCTAACCCTAGCCCTAGCCCTAACCCTAGCCCTAAACCTAACCCTAAACCTAGCCCTAACCCTAACTCTAACCCTGTCCGGGGGGGGGTAATGTCCTACTGGGCGGGGGGTAATTGACAGGGGGGTAATTGACAGGGGGGGTAATTACTCTGGGGGGTAATGTCGGGGGGGAAATATCCGGGGGGTAATTGACAGGGGGGAAATGTCCTGTTCCCATATATATATATATATATATATATATATATATATATATATATATATATATATATATATATATATATATATATATGAATGTATACATAAAGCAAAATCCATCTATAAACATGAATAAGCTGATGTTTAATTGCCGCTAGCAGCACTAAGCTGCAGAATGAACCCTTTGACCCCTGGTGCAGTATCTGGCCCATTAAATAAGTCAGGGTTCTAGTAAACAAAGGGTTAACCAGATCTACACAAGATGTCAGGGCTATGATAAACAACCAATCGGGGAAATCCGAAACACAACGCGATAATCCGCGCTAGAAAGGGAATCACGTCAAGGAAAAACCAACACTGGGCATTGTGGGAAATATATATATATATATATATATATATATATATATATATATATATATATATATATATATATATATATATATATATATATATATATATATATATATATATATTCCAAATTTTCCTTCGTATAAATATAATGTGTGCTTATGTGAGTTAGGAGTTGGGCTGTTGAGTGAAATTTTCGCTGCGATACTACGTACTTTATGCATGGCATATACAATTTTTTTTGTATTTAGTATTCGTTAAGCTGTCTACTTCTAACTATGTAAAATCCTTTGTACAGGAAGATTAAATGTTTTCTACCCATTTGGCCAGGATTAAAACTTACATCCTCCACCTTTAATGTAAAATTTATTCAAATTACTGTAATCGGATCAAACGTTTTTCTTTCAACTTCTTCTAGATTAAGAATAAAATTCCGATTTTTGTTTATCTTTTTCATCTGCTTAACGCTCAACTAAAATCCCCAGCCTATTATTCGATGGCTGCTGATTAAAAAAAAGTTACAAAAAAAAAACGTATTGTTTCTTAAAGTTTTTTTTAAGCTTTCAAGCCGGTCGTTGAGCGAGTCTGGATTTATTTGTCTAGGTTCCAGACCGTTTCACCCGGCACGAGAAAATATTGTCACTCGCTGGCACGTACCATAAACACACACGGGCAGAGGTCCGTGCCTGCCGGGTGGTTCTAGAGGGTTCTTCTCTTGTCGGGGGGGGGGGGGGGGGGGGCTCCGGTGGTGTGGAACTGTGGGGTTTTGGTGGACGTCTGGTGGATTCCGGATATGTACGTGTATTGTGGAGTTTAGCTAGAGACGTGTGTCTGGTGGATTCCAGCTATAGACGTGTCTAGTGGAGTTTAGATATTGAAATGTGTCTGGTGGAGTTTAGCTATAGACGTGTGTCTGGTGGAGTTTAGCTATTAGAATGTGTCTGGTGGAGTTTAGCTATAGACGTGTGTCTGGTGGAGTTTAGGTATAGATGTGTCTGGTGGAGTTTAGCTATAGACGTGTTTCTAGTGGAGTTTAGCTATAGACGTGTGTCTGGTGGAGTTTAGCTATAGACGTGTCTAGTGGAGTTTAGCTAGAGACGTGTGTCTGGTGGAGTTTAGCTATAGACGTGTGTCTTGAGTTTAGCTATGGACGTGTGTCTGGTGGAGTTTAGCTATGGACGTGTGTCTGGTGGAGTTTAGCTATGGACGTGTGTCTGGTGGAGTTTAGCTATAGACGTGTGTATGGTGGAGTTTAGCTATAGACGTGTGTCTGGTGGAGTTTAGCTATAGACGTGTGTCTGGTGGAGTTTAGCTAGAGACGTGTGTCTGGTGGAGTTAAGTTATAGACGTGTGTCTGGTGGAGTTTAGCTATAGACGTGTGTCTGGTGAAGTTAAGCTTTAGATTAGATGTGCTGTCAATTGTAACAATTTTCACATCCTTTTCACTTATGCTGACAAACTCCTGATGGTGTACGTTGACATGTGTTGTGGGGGTGCGACCCGGGGGGGGGGGTCTCCTATGTCACCTTGTAGCTGTGAACACATGAACATCATACCATCACTGTAGTACTCACTCACACACATGTTGAAGCTGTCTCCCATTCACACCCCCTCACGTGTCGGTGTAGTTCCCCTTTGATCAGCCTCTATGTGACTGCAATAGTGTGAGCTTATCAATCAGCTACCATTATTATGTAAGACATTGTTAATTAGGTCAACATCCATTTTATAGAAAATATAGAACAGATCAGGTGCAGAGTGTTATCATAAAATATTTACTGCTAATTTAAGTTACACATTAGCACATACTGTTGTCTTTATGTGGTTATTTACACATGTGAAAAACCAAAGATTATTATAAACTCAGTATAATCAAACAAAGTTAATCGCTACTAATAGGTGTTGGCAGATTTAGAATAATGCGGTTGCAACAAGGATTTTATATAAAAAGGTGTTAGGAAACTAACCATAACACAAAATACACCCCACATGAAAAAATTCATATACACATACAAAAAATATTTTAAAAAACAACAGCTGAAATAAGCTCTGATGTATGTGCATTTATGAAACAAAATATTTGTGAGAAATGTTTTTAAGGCCAAGTTTCTGGGAAAAAAAAACTCGTTTAAAAACACCAAATTTTGCTTTCTTATTAGCAGTATTTAACGCTAGACATTACAAATTTGTCGAAATTTTCCCATCCCCTACCCCCATCTACACACAACCCCTCCGAATTTTTTTTTAAAAAACCTTTCAATAATCTGGCTCTCCGCGGACGGGCAAGAAGTCCTCGTTGTTTACAACTAACTGTCAACATTTTTATTTGCCCTTACGTTCCGTCTTGAGTTCCCGTGTTCCCCCTCTATTCTCCCTGTTCCCTATCTCCCTCCCCCTATAATAATGTGCAAATAAGAGCGATTCAATGGCGTCGGGCTAATCTGGTCGAAAGTAAGACATGTTTGGTCCGTATCTAAACAACAAGTCAGGCCTCTTATCAGTCATTAATTTTGGCTGTTGTTGGAAATATGCCGATTGGACAAACTTTCTACACGGCCAGAACGTTCAACACAAAACACATACAAACCCGGCTACCGACATACAAACATAACTGACGCTACAAACCCGGCTACCGACATACAAACATAACTGACGCTACAAACCCGACTACTGACATACAAACAGACGCTACAAACCCAGCTACTGACATAAAAACATAACAGACGGCTTTAAACCCGACTACCGAAATACAAATAGACACTAAAAACCCGACTACTGACATACAAACATAACTAAAAACACACACATATACCTACCTACCTACAGACACACCTAACAGTACACAAGCCTAACTAAAATTACACAAACACACATAAAACCACTAATATAAACATAACGCTCACCGCAGTCTGATTCAATTCTTCACTTCGCGGAAAAGCCAACCATCATTTATTTACTTGTTTACTTACGCGCGCGCCAGTTCACGCACCGTGTAGACCTCAGTGATGCGCTCCACCGTCTGCAGTCTGCTAAACACCATTTTCAAATCTCGAAATATCGATCTAAAAAAATCAATCACAGACCCGATGGTATTTTTACTAAATGGGTTAGTCCAAGCGTACACGACACAGGTAAATAATTGAATAGGAACGTTTGGATTAGCATTACTTAAATTGGATGGATAGACGTCTGGACTTTGGACAAAGTACCAGAAGAGATGACGTCTAATTATTTAAACACGTAAACATAAAAAAGTAATGGTTACTTTAAGAAATGTTACTTTAAAAAAATAAATTGAACATATTTTCTTTAAAAACTTTGATGGGGAACTTCGCCATGTTTTTTTGATCGTCAAATACAAAGTAAACAAATGACGAGTTACAATTCCGTAAATGAAAAGTTCAAATTTCACCACCTGAATATTCAACATTCACTGAAATAAAAGTTTAACAATTAAACAGTAAAAATAAAACGGTCTAAAATTCTTGATGGAATTTTTTACTGACCGTTTGAAAGCTTGAAGACCGGTTGACACGGGGTTAACCCCCGGGGTGTCGGGCGGCTGGGGACAATCAACATTCAAACACTTGCGTGGACGCACGAGCTAATCGTTGGCTCTTTTTTTCAAACCATAAACTCCGTTTATTTGTTTAGCCGAGCGCAATAAATCCAAAACCCAAGGACGAGAGCAATGGGAGATTCTATCAAATCAAACCAGTAGCGTCACGAGGCGGGGGGAAGACAAGGAGTTGAGTGGTAGGTGGGGGAGGGGGGGGACAGCACCTGATGACACCGACACCGTCCATGGAAGGAGACACCAAAACACAAAACTGCTGATCTTTACACCACGCTAAAGGTTCCTCACTAGACCTAGCGATTTATTTTTCCCCGTTCTAAAGGACACCATTTGATCACTGACTGTTACCCTCCCCTCACCATCCTCCCACACATTCCCCTCGCTACCCTCCCACACACTCCCCGCTTACCATCAGTGTTTCTTCCAGACTTTTTTCTCCGGGGGGGGGGGGGGGGGGTAGACTTTCTTCGGGGGGGGGGCGGTAGACTTTCTTCGGGGGGGGGGGGGCGGACACTGTTAAAAGTATATATTTTCTATATAAATTATATAAATTTCATTTCGCTCGGGGGGGGGGGGGGGGGGCGGTAAAAAATTCGCCCCCCCCCCCCCCGAAGAGATGCCTGGAAGAAACTCTGCTTACCATACTTATTCGCCCGTACTAGATAGTAATTTAATTTTAAAAATTCCATCCATCCAGCTTGGTTTCACCCATGCATTGATTTTTTTTTAAATAAAATAATTTGCGTTTGATTTAAAATAAAGTACTGTTTTGTTTCTTTATTCCCCCTACTCTCTACAACAAAACATTCACGCCTCGTTTTTGTGAAAGAGTTTTACATTGACGAAATCTCTTGTTGATTTCTGGTGACAGGGCGCGGGGACAAAGCCTCGAGAGGGAGCCACAAGTCGGACCACAAGACCACCAGGGTGCGGACCGTCCTCAACGAGAAACAGCTGCACACGCTGCGGACTTGCTACAACGCCAACCCCAGGCCGGACGCCCTCATGAAGGAACAGCTGACCGAGATGACGGGTCTCAGCCCGCGGGTCATACGGGTCTGGTTCCAGAACAAGAGATGTAAGGATAAAAAACGCTCCATCTTGATGAAGCAGATACAGCAGCAGCAGGAGAAGGTATGTACCACGTGGTCGGTGGTTCGAAACCCACTCGCGAAGATAATTATACGCTTTTTGGGTTTTTAGCGTTTGGTAGCATTTATGAAGTTTTCATGACATGGAGTTACATACACGGGTTTAATTTAGGTTTAACTAAGCTTAATGTACATAGGGTTAACTAAGCTTAATCTACATAGGTTTAACTGAACGAACAATACAGGGTTTAACTAACATTATTTAAGGTGCCAATAATGAACTCGTTGTTAAGGAATTAGTACTGAAATAATCCACCCCCTCTACTGAAATCCAATCATGTCCTTGGGCTACCACAACAAGGAGATTACAACAATCTTGTACATTTGAAGTTTTTGGTGTGGGAAATGTTAGGCAACTTACCCACGTCTCATAGAATAGGTAAATAAACAAATTCCGTAGACGGTTTGTTTCAACTGCTACTAATATTGTGATGTTTTGAATAAATAAAAAAGCAATATATTGCATAACTTTTAACTGATAGCTAGGTGAACATTCACCTGTCTATAAACCCAACCTATCACCTACCATTCCCCTGTCTATAATCCCAACCTATCACCTACCACTCACCTGTCTATAAACCCAACCTATCACCTACCATTCCCCTGTCTATAATCCCAACCTATCACCTACCACTCACCTGTCTATAAACCCAACCTATCACCTACCACTCACCTGTCTATAAACCCAACCTATCACCTACCATTCCCCTGTCTATAATCCCAACCTATCACCTACCACTCACCTGTCTAAAATCCCAACCTATCACCTACCATTCCCCTGTCTATAATCCCAACCTATCACCTACCACTCACCTGTCTATAAACCCAACCTATCACCTACCATTCCCCTGTCTATAATCCCAACCTATCACCTACCACTCACCTGTCTATAAACCCAACCTATCACCTACCACTCACCTGTCTATAAACCCAACCTATCACCTACCATTCCCCTGTCTATAATCCCAACCTATCACCTACCACTCACCTGTCTATAAACCCAACCTATCACCTACGACTCACCTGTCTATATTCCCAACCTATCACCTAACATTCACCTTAAGTACGTGTCTGGTAAATCTCGCTTTCCGTCAACGTCCACAAAACGGCTGTGCCACATGACTGACACGACGCGAAACGTCAGTGTCGAACTTTGTGGGGAAAGATAAAAGTTTTAACACCCTTTCTTCTCTCAGCACATTCATAGAAACATTATGTCAAACAATTGCAACCGCAGGGGCATTCACTGGGGTGTAGGGGCAGCAACTGGGGCACAAGGGAAGCCACTGGCATTTTCAATTTTTATTTTAATTTGTAAAAAAAAAAAAAATACAAAAAAAAACCACAGTATTTATTTTATAATGAACCTCACAATTTTTTAAAGAGTTGATTTAAATAATTCTTGACAATTGCGTTGTTAGATTTTAAAAAATATACACCTAATAACCGTAGATGTTTTGTCTTGCTGTGTCATATGCTGGCGTCAAGAAGTTTGGAAATTGCCAAAAATAAAAATAAATAAATACAAATGAAATAAAACCAACCAGTTTAAAAACTTGTGTGAAGCCCGTCAAAAAGTTGGGCTAGACCCAGAATTAGACCATCGGGTTGACACATTAAAGCTCTCTTATAAAGGAACTAGCAAGAGAATAAAATCATATGTTACGACCCGCCATCAACACGGTTCTCAGAAAACTTCTCAAGCGGGGTCACTTTTGAAGAGTTATGGCAACCCTTTGTTGCCACTTTATGTAAAAAAAAAAAAAAAAACACAAAACACACTCCCAGTTGTATCGGTATTAAAGATCTCGATTCCAAATAGCCACCTGCTATTGGGAATAAGATCAGTCTTCCAAATAGCCACATACTATTGGGAATCCTTAACTGCTGATAGCCGCTTCAAGAACATAAACTGCGAATACATATTTTTGTCTAGTAGCGACGTAAAAATATATAATTTTGTTTGATATCTTGACATAAAGCAATAAGTAGTAATCTTACTGTAAATTATTGAAACCATTCTTGGTATCGTGTCTAAATACATAAGTATTGCTTAACAAATAAATGTATAGAATTATATTCAGCGCAATGGACGTATCACAAAACTACTCATATCCCGTGTCATACCCCCCCCCCTGTGGTTCTTGCACATGAGTTGGACATCGTATGATGTAATGAAGCGTGTTAACAGTTTGGTCATACCTAGACTAAACAGAAGTTGTTACATTTTTTAACGTATGAGCATGAATTAAAATTCATCGTAGAAACTAGATCTATATCTACTAAATGAGCGTTTTTTTTTTTGAGGTTTACAATGTTTATATATGACAAAAGAAATTAATTAAAATGATGGTAAAAGATACGCAGCTTATATAACTAAACAGTAATTAAAGCCAAAGAACCGAAGCAACATACCACGTTGCAAAACCTGACGCCGCGTCACAAAGAACCGATGCAACATACCAAGATGGAAAGCCTGACGCCGCGTCGCAAAGAATCAATGCAACATACCAAGACGCAAAGCCTGACGCCGCGTCACAAAGAACAAATGCAACATACCACGACGCAAAGCCTGACGCCGCGTCACAAAAAAACCGATGCAACATACCAAGACTCTAAGCCTGACGCCGCGTCACAAGACTGACGCCATTAAAACCGAGGTGAGACAGGAACCATGAGCCACATTCCTGGGAGAGCCATAAACACGAGACACGAGCCACTAAACCAGACCGGCTGGACAAAACAAAATGGCGCTCCCGGCTGACAAGAAGCGCAGGATAGACAATACTTTTATGGGCCGCCGTTGTTGCATGGGGCTCCTATTCACACTTGGGGACTTGGGTGCAATGGAATTCGGTCTTCTACAGGTGGGGGAGGGCTGGGGTGGTGTAAAAAAAAGGCTGGATGCATGGGGTCTATAAAAAAAAACAGTGAGTGTGATTTTAAAGGTGTGTTAGGGTGTGTAATTGTATCGCCTGGCGGGGAGGTGTGTGACGTTTTGTTGGCGTGTCACTGATGTGTGTGTGACAGTTTGTGTTTGTGTCGTTTGGTATGAAGGTGTGTGACAGTTTGTGTTTGTGTCGTTTGGTGTGAAGGTGTGTGACAGTTTGTGTTTGTGTCGTTTGGTGTGAAGGTGTGTGACAGTTTGTGTTTGTGTCGTTTGGTGTGAAGGTGTGTGACAGTTTGTGTTTGTGTCGTTTGGTGTGAAGGTGTGTGACAGTTTGTGTTTGTGTCGTTTGGTGTGAAGGTGTGTGACAGTTTGTGTTTGTGTCGTTTGGTGTGAAGGTGCGTGACAGTTTGTGTTTGTGTCGTTTGGTGTGAAGGTGCGTGACAGTTTGTGTTTGTGTCATTTGGTGTGTAGACGTGTGACAGTTTGTGTTTGTGTCTCTTGGTGTGAAGGTGTGTGACAGTTTGTGTTTGTGTCATTTGGTGTGAAGACGTGTGACAGTTTGTCACATATGCACATGTACTACTGGATCTTACATGTATTACTAGCACCCAGAGTTTCTTTCAGGCATCTCTTCAGGGGTGTGGTGGGGATGGGTACCCTAACCCTCCCGGAAATTAAAGTCCGCCCCCCTCCTTCGAAAGTTTCAAGTACCCTTCCCCGAACAAAAATGTCCGAAAGAAACACTGCACTTAAGCACATGTGCTACTAAAACTTATGTGAGTTACTAGCATCTAGCACGTGTGCTACTAAAACTTACGTGAGTTACTAGCACTTAAGCATGTGTGCTACTAAAACTTACGTGTGTTACTAGCACTTAAACACATGTGCTACTAAAACTTCCATGTGTTACTAACACTTAAGCATATGTGCTACTAAAAATTACTTGTGTTACTGGCACCTAGTACACATGCTACTAAAACTTACGTGTGATACTAGCACCTAGTACACATGCTACTAAAACTTACGTGTGATACTAGCACCTAGTACACATGCTACTAAAACTTACGTGAGTTACTAGCACCTAGTACACATGCTACTAAAACTTACGTGTGATACTAGCACCTAGTACACATGCTACTAAAACTTACGTGTGTTACTAGCACCTAGTACACATGCTACTAAAACTTACGTGTGTTACTAGCACCTAGTACACATGCTACTAAAACTTACGTGAGTTACTAGCACCTAGTACACATGCTACTAAAACTTACGTGAGTTACTAGCACCTAGTACACATGCTACTAAAACTTACGTGTGTTACTAGCACCTAGTACACATGCTACTAAAACTTACGTGAGTTACTAGCACCTAGTACACATGCTACTAAAACTTACGTGTGTTACTAGCACCTAGTACACATGCTACTAAAACCCTGACCGTGTACAGACTAAACTACACGTGAAACCTGCATGTATTGATTAGCCGCCGGTTGGTTGACGGGGGTTGGCAGGGGTTGGCAGGGTTATACATAATGCACAACCCGCGCAGATTGGACTACGAAAATCGCAATCATCGGTGACAGAGTTACGTCAAGGGCTGGCTGGGTTGTCATTTTACAAGGGCTCGCTGGGTTGTCATTTTACAAGGGCTCGCTGGGTTGTCATTTTAGTTTTTTATGTCTCAAACTTGAGCTGGTGACGAGGGTGAAAAAAATCGATTATAGGTGAATACATTACGTGAGGGCAGTTGTGAGGGGGGGGGGGGGGTCACGTGAAAGCCAAGAGCTAGGCGGGGCGGGTTTTGTTATTGAAGTAAGGAGCAGTTAACTCTCATTAAATTTACATTCTGATATGCAGGGGGAGATGCTTATCAGAGGAAAAGCACGCGTTTAACTTCTCTCCCTTTGTCGAACAAGATATCCTTTAAAGAACCCCGCCCACTTATCTAAACCAAGCCCCTCCCCCATGACCCAGATATCCCTAATTATTCCTTACTTACCGTATCGCTGACGGTCACCTATACCTGTGACGTAAACTACACACATGGGGGAAAAAAAGGCAGTTAATAAGGTGTCAGCCTAGCCACTATGACAC